ATGTGTAAAATTGCAACTCTGTGGTCAGTCACCAACTAAAATGTTAATGCACTTACTTGTATGTGCGTGATCCTCGCAACATTAATCATGATTTAGTATGGGTTACCGGTATATCGCTATGACAATGATTGGTTATGAGTCCACATGCTCTGTTGTTACGTTTCATGAGCTTTCTTTGTTCCTCTCAATTATCATACAAATTTTATTATCACAAGTCTTTCTTCGTTAGACATATATACATTCCACTTTCATAAAGAACATGTTTGAACTGTTTTGAAAGCAAATTCAGTACCTATCAAGAAGGACATGTGTGTGTTAATTACGCACATACAAGTGGGAAAATACCGGTGTTTTCTGCTTAAGATGAGGTTCCAGATAATACCAGATACATATAATTTCCCCAGACCCTTGTATTAATAAAGTCGACTATACATGTACATACTTCAAAAGCTCTCCAATAAGTCCCTACCAATAATCTCCTCTTGAAACTTGGGGTCCATGGTGAAAATGTCAACCTCAGGCTGGGACTCAAAGATGTAGACTTGCCCATTGTCTCCTCGCATGTACACCAACCAGGAACTGAACCGGAAGCTGGCAAACTGAGAGAATTTCTCACACATGGACTGAATGGCCAGAATAGGGGTTAGGATGTGAACATTGGGCTCCTCAGACAGCAACTGTTGGGGGAGAACAATCAGATACATATGTACTATTAGAAAGACAGGTTTCAAGTTACTGTATGGAGTGAGTGAACATGAATCTCAATGTAGATAACATTCAACAACGAAACTATACCGACTTTTGATACTGCTTACTTTTGACATATTCACGCATTTGAAGCAAGATAAGGGATGGAGAGAACCCCTTCCCCCGTGTGTTAGTCATTGTTATGACGGAATCTCATGAATTCTTTGCAGACATCTAGGGGGTGATGTGTTAGGTACTAAGCCTGCGCGACTATCAATTTTGCAAAGTCGTGGCGACTATTACAAACTAGTCGCGACTATTTAACTAGTCGCGACTTTTATGACCCGATGACGTCATACTATGTTAATGATATTCGTAGTTAAAATTTTGAGGAGCACCTCTAATTTGAATGACTGTATTGATAAATTTCCGGCAGACTAGACAATCTCTTGCAAAGCTTATGTGGCCTCTCTGGTTTTACTCAAAATCGGCGAATATATATAAATCTTCTGCATGGATCAGCTTGACTTTCTCGTTTCAGTCCATTAGCAATGACTGGAGAAAAACATCAGCTTACTGAATTGAAATAAAAATTTTTTTG